GATGCTGCACAGCCGCGGAGCCATGTTAGAGTCGCGCAGGTTGCAGGGAGGCCCCGCCTTCGAGGCCCGCGGCGGAGGCGGGAGCCAGCAAGCTCCGCCCGGGAGGCGCTGCGCCCGCTCGGCATCCGGCCGGGTGGGCGGTGCCCCCGGGGCTTGCGGTGCTCGCGGGTACCCGGGCGCCAGGGGTGCTTGTGCACCGAGCCTCAGACTCACCCTGCGAGCCTCAGTGTCCACCTTCAACCTCAGGGTCCACCTCGGTCAAGTGAGCGCTTTGCATGGAGGCACATTGCAGTCCAGTCGTAGGAACAAGACTGGGTTTTCGCCCCTTTGAAGGGGAAGTGTTGGAAAAGAGTTTGTCCAGAATCTGTCTTAATTTTGTAATGCTGCTGTAACAGAGATACCACAAGAGGTGGTATTAACAGGATTTTTTTTTAATTTTATTTTTTTTATTATTGTGTGTGTGTGTGTGTGCGCGCGTACCGTCAAATTGGATCTGACTGGTACAGGAGGAGATTGTCCCTCCTTTCCCGGCAGAGCATCTGGTGGATTTGAACCGTGCACCTCTGGGATTGCAGTGCAGCTTCTTGCCACTAGGCCACCAGAGCTCTCCTATTAACAGGATTTTTTATAATGAGCGGCCGAGGGTCAGTGGTGTTTGTTGTGTACCATGGGTCAGAATCACCGATAACTTTTTTGGAGGCTGTTAATTGCACGGGAGATGCCCATCGTTCTCTGGCTGGTGGATTCGAACCATGGGTCTCTGGGTTGGCAGCGCACCTCCTCACCTCTAGGCCACCAGAAGTCCCTGTTTTTAATCATATACAAGCTGGGTGTGCTGGTCCACAGACAGCATTTATGTAAGGAACAAATACCCATTACACGTTGCACAACAGCCCAGTACATCATTGCAAAGACAACTGAGGGGAGACGAGGGAGGGACGTAACTGTGCAACAAGGAATGAATATTTTTTGAAAGCTGAACATAGAAATTCCGTATGACCCAGCTGGTCCACTGCTGGGACTATACCTTGAGAGAATGAGACCCATGACAGGCAATGTCTAAGGACACGCCGACAAAGGAGATCAATCAGAACTGGTTTTGATAAAGACAGTGGCAATATAACACTAGAAAACAACCCTTAAGGAATACAGGCTATATGACAATAAAAACAGACTCTCAAGGAATGTGGCAAAACAGACTTAAGGATAAAGGAGATGGCCAAAGTCACCATAACCATTAGAAGGAATGTACCATCAGCTGTTTAAACCCCACTCCCTGCTAACAAAAGGTATATAAAACCTCTTGTAAGATAAAACTGAGTCCCTCTGTCCTGACCCATTTATAGTCTGTTGTTGTTATGTGCCGTCGAGTCGTTTGGGACTCATAGCGACCCTATGTACAACAGCCCTAAACCCTGCTCTATCCTGTGCCAATCTCATTGCCTCTGACACACCCATCCCGATTACCCCAGTC